AATAGATTATAGATCTTATTTATTAAAATCTCATTCAGAAAAGTTTACTTTTAATTAATGGATAGAGTCCTATTTCAATGAAAATAAGTATACAAACACTTTTAAAAGCCACTGTATATATGTAAAATATAAAAAAATAGGACGGTTTTGCCCTATATTGCCCAAAAGCAGTCATTTTCACTGCCTGGGAAATTTTAAAAAATCAAATGACTCTTATTATTGAATTGAATAAATTTCTTATATGACCAGTTCAGCTCTGTATTGAAAAAACAGTTTTCATTTTTTTTCGATTACAGTCACATGATAACATACAAGTAAATGATAAATTGTCGATTTGTGCATATACTTGACATGTTGCAATTTCTCAATTAGCTAAAGTAGTACTTGTTATTCGAATCTTTATACAACGATACCTGTTCTAACAAACTGTTTATTTTATTTCTTTTGTGCCCTAAATTCATGAAAGAAATAGAAGTGAGTTATTGGAAAAGCTAACGAACATAAGTGAAGAGTGCTCCGATATGAAGTCAGATGCAACAAATTCTGAATTATCATCTGAAGATGAAGCGGATTATATTCAAAATGAAACATCTGACAATGAAAATAGCGAAGAGCCTATATCACTAATGATGAAAATGAAAGTGTCATCAATACGCTCAGGAAAAGGCGTAGGGTGTTAAGTCGTTCAAAAAGATTCTGATGAAGAAACTGAAAACACCTTTCAGGAGACCGAAACAGCTGCTGATAGTACTGTGTAGGTGAAAATTTGACATAGTTGGTATTTCTAGACAGTTACCATCCACTTGTATTTTCAAGAGTGTGAAAGGGCCAACAGGCTATGCAAATTTGTCAAGTACGACTTTGCCACAACAACAAAACAAATAATATATGTGAAAAATGTCAAAAGTATTGTTGCGTTATTTTCTGACACCAGTTGTTACATTATTTTCTTCCTTCACATTCGTACGGGGTTCGTGGGGATTTGGAGTGAATAACAACAACAGCACTTGACGGAATATCGAAACACACTTTATTTAGCCAATATTAATCAGGACAGCTCCAAAACACTTTTACAGTCATCGAAGATCTACTATAAACATGCTGGAACAATCAGTGACACAGCTTTCACACTGTCAGGCAATAACGGAGAGAGCTTCACTGCAAAGCACCAGACTACAGCTTCCGACTCTGCTCGGTCGTTCTCGGAACTCCATGTACTCTCGAGACTCTCCATGCTACAACTTGCAATGTACTCGATGACACACAGAATTCAGCTCCCGACTCTCGGTTCAGTCGTTCCCAGAGCTCAACACACTCTCTCAACAATGCAGTAACCGTGATACACAAAGAGACTGCACTCGACACTCGCTGCCCGGCTGTCAACTCGATCGACTCCGCACGAACTGACTAACTCGAGACACTATCTTGCGCTCTCTGACTGCGGACCAGCAGGGTTTATATAGCTTTCGGCTTGTGTTCCAGAACATTCTGGGCTAAACCGGTAAGAATTCGTTCCGGAAGGTTCTCCATCAGTCTATGGCATATCGTCAATTTTGTCACCAAATGTGACAACTCTGCCTTTTTATGGCAACCCTAAACTTGTTTTGCACACCTGGACATTTCGTAACAGTATGTTTGCGGAAGATGTTCACATAAAAAAAATTCCACTTTCATTTGCAAAAAATGTACAAATAATAATGCATAAAACTGCTTTTTTCTCCCCCAAGTGAAGTAATTTTTTCTTGTTAATATTTACTAATAACTTGTTATATAACTGTAAATAACAAAAAATATTTAAAATGTTAAACAAATTTCTTTACACATTATTCTTTTTTGGGCAATATAGGTATATACTAAGTTTCAGTCTTTCTAGTGTTAACATAATCCCTCTAGACCAGTAAAGGCATGCTATTGGTGCCCAAGTGGTTATGTTAATACATAATATCAGCAATTTTATGGAGAAAAAAGTGCATAATAATGATTGGATCATTCAGTATACCTTACTTTTTAATTTATGTAGTTAAAAAAAATCAAGCATTTAACATGTAGTAAACTGCGATGGCTAGTAAAAACTAACATAAAATAGATGATGTATGTTATAATTGAATCTATTATTTAAAAAGCTGCTTATTCAATTTGTTACTCTAGTTAGTGTTTAATGAATAAAATCAAGTGCATCATTAAAAAAATTTTATTCTTAATAAATTATTAATTTATTATATATATATTATAATTAAATTATTAATTAAATATTATTTTAAAAAATGATTTATAGGTTTGGTTTATTTCATTATGGCAAAGCACCCAAGGGGAGGGATGCCTTCGTTGTGGACTTTCTAATAGAAACTGGCTCGTGCACACGTTACACATGGGGAAAACCATGAAAACACCCATTCGCCGGGATTCGAACCCTAAATGAACTACCAGTGTTCAGTGATTTTTACCACAGTGGGCCTTTGATTAATGGGAAAATCTTCCTGTAGCTGGTGAAATTATTTTACATTTAATGTGCAAAACTATCATTTAGCAGATAAATTTTAATTATATTTGTCATTCTTAAAACTGAAGTAATGTCAAGTATTAAGCAATGTGAACTTTTGACATTCAATAATTCATAAATAGTTAAAAGCTCCAATTTTTAAAAAAAAAATTTGAAGATTAACTTAATATCAAATAATCTGATAATGGTTTAGAACTAAAATTTATAAATTCTTTGATCATATTATACCTTAAAAGCAATTTCATCCCAGTAGCAGAACTAATTGTTCTATGTTTTTCTTAAAGCTCTATCAAAATGAAGGATGTGTTCTGCAACAAGTCCTTAGAAATGTTCTGTTCATTGGACTGTTAGATGAATTTGCTGTTTCTCGTATAGGACTTTTACATGTAACATAAATAAAAGTTGATTTTCTTTAGCATCACATTTAAAATAATCTGTACTTAATATAGGTTAAGTATTTTTCCATAATAAAGTACCCACCTGTGAACTAATTAAATAATGTTCATTAGTTTCAACTATCCTATTAAACATGTTGGTCATTTCAGTAGTGAATAATAAATACTTTAATGTACCATGTTCAGCTTTTATGGTTTTTATATTTTTCTATGATAGAGGATTATAAATTTTCAGACAATACACAAAATAAAGCATAAAACTTATTGCACATAAACTATATACAGATGTATTAATTACAGATCTGCTGGGCAACAGATAAAACTATGAACTTCAGACATTTCATTATTACATAACAAAGCCAAAAAGGGTATTGGTACTGCAATAAAATTTTGCTAGTTATTCTTTTATGATGTGGCTAAAATGTGTAAATAAAAACACGTACCTCATAAAGCAAGTTGGTGTGAAAAATTTGCAATTATATCTGTTATATAACAAAGATCTCAAGGTTAAAATTCCAGACAAGTTCATAAATGTTCAATAGTTCCATGGATAACTATTGCTTGCCTTTGAAGTATTATGGGAAAAGGAAATAGCCCTATAAAAATAAATCATAGTAGGGGAATATTTATCTTATCACTATGTTTTCTTATTGGTAAATAAGCAGAGTATGCAAACCCTCAAGGTTACAATAAAGTAAATCTGCCTTGAACAAGAATTCCTTGATTTGAGTATCTATGAAGCTCATAAAATACAGCTAACAGGGCTCTTTCCAAATGTCTTCTCCATCTAGGTTAAATCCTATGGAGTTAAAAAGTGAGCAGATCTGAAGCCAGAACTCTTATTTTCACCCATAAATCTTTCATCCACTCCATTGGGATGTTATGGGCTTTGACGATACTTTCTGCAATATTTTTGGTATATTATAGTGATACAATAGTTTGTTGTTCTCCTGTTTGATGTTTAGAAAGAACTATGTATAAAATAAGGTTTGTGCTTCCACAGGCACATTGTATTTACACATTCCTTTACCATACATACTTCTAAATATCACATAAGCCAATAACTGCAGTAGCCAATGAATGGAAGAAAACATCTATATAAAAACAGTGTCACTTTGCTTCCATTTCAAAAGGCAACAAATATGTCGAAAAGCAACATTCTTCAAATAGCATCCATTTACAATGGAAGGAGAAATCGATGGTTTTTCATCCCACAAGTTAGCAGACATTAGAGCAAACATGCTGCAAGTTGATATTGCTCAGTGTCTGAATGGGCTCTATCCTCAAATCTAAAAACCGTGAATGAAGAGAAAACTGTGGTACATATCAAGTTTGAACAGTTTGTGTGCCAATCCTTGGACAGTTTTAAAAAATGTGGATTTTGTTTAGATGTTAAAAATAATTAATTCAACACATCTTATGAATAAATACCAATGTTTGGATTGGATGAAAATGAAATGAGTTGCTATAGCATAATTGCTTATAAGTGATATGCATACAAAAAGCTCCTTCTAAATCTAATACAGTGCACTATGAAAGACTTGTACCATATCATGGTAATGAGCATTAGTTTCACCTGGTCTTGGAGATTACACTGCCCAGGACATGCAGTCCTTAAGGAGAGGGTAATGCTGTAAAATATCTGAATCTGTTTGGGTCGATATTTTGTGTTTGATCTGAATCCATATATATTGTATTTATTTTTAACATAGAATTACATTTCTTTTGAGTGCAATACCATTGGAATTGTAAAGATAGCTCAACTAAAATGCATGATGTGAGCAGAGAGAAAACATTTTCAAAGTTTTACAATTGTTCTTCCAGAAAATTCCATGCTAGAGTATAAGTATGGGTCAGAAAGTTAAATCAGCAATATTTTGCAATTAGCTTAATTATGAGTCTAGTGAGTGATTTGAGAAACTTCACGCCATTTCGTGTGTCAATGAGCAATTGCTCAATATTCACATCCACCTCAACTTATTTCCAGTTATATATTGTGCTTTTTAAGTAATTTATTTCCTGATTAACAATGTTGGACAGCCCCATGTGATGCAACAATATGCAAGTTATTTATTTACAACGTGTTATATTAATTAAATAATCAATTTCTTTCCAACTTTTTATTAGAACAATTTCATTCACAGAATGTTTTTAAATGAAAAATTTAATAGTCCTATGGTAACATTTATTTGAAAATTTTGCCTTGGTTGAATTTTTTCCCTCCAAAGTCTCCACTCCAAGAAAGATATTCAGTAACAAGTTTCTTTGTTTCTTCTGAGGATGGATCTAATTTCTTCCAACTGTATGATTCATAATCAATTTGCCAATCTTCAGAAAGCTGCAATTATAAAGATATTTTTATGAATATTTTCAGTAAAAACAGCTTTCAGAATTAATGTAACAATATCTCATTTAATTATAACTTATTTTCTTCCTTCACGTTCGTACGGGCTTTGTATGGATTTGGAGTGAATAACGACACTTGATGAAGTATCGAAACGCACTTTATTGGCTGTATTATTCAAAACAACTTCAATAACACGTTTATAGTCACCAAAGAACTACTATAAACATGCTGACATAGCCTCCAGGTTATCAAGCTATACCAGTGGAGACAGCTTCACTGCAAAGCACCAGAGTACAGCTCCCAACTCTGCTCGGTCATTCTCGAAACTCCACGTATTCGAGACTCTCCATGTTACAACTCGTGATGCACTTGATGATACACTAACTGCTCCCGACTCCTCGGTTCAGTCGTCCCAGGAGCTCAGCACACTCTCTCGATGATGCACTAAGAGACTTTTTCAATGTACTCGCTGACTGTCAACTCGATGGACTCCCCACGGACTAACTCGCAAGACGAGACACTAACTGGCACCGCATGCCAGCAGGATTTATATAGCTTTTGGTTTGTGTTCAAAAACATTCTGTGCTAAACCGGTAAGAATTCGTTCCAGAAGATTCTCCATCCGTCCATGGCCAAATGGGCTATTACTCGCCAAATGTGGCAACCCTACCTTCCTTTGTCATTTTATAGCAACCCTAAACTTGCTTTGCGGGGAAGCCATCTTACTGCGCCTTGACATTTCATAACAATACACACTACAAACTATGAAGTGATAGGAAATACATGCCATGTAATAAATAAAATAAGCTCATCAACATACAAAAAGACTATACTTTCAAAAGATACACACAAAGAACTACTAATTTGAAGCAGATAAACACTATGTGGTAAGATAAGCTTATCAGCATGCAAAAAGATTCCAAAATACATACTATATTTACTCAAAAGAAAGAAAAGACAAAAATTGCTGAATGAGAGAGATGAGTTTAATTATAATAAACCACTAATTGTTGCATATAAAAACTGTACAACTACCACTATTTCAGATAAAACAGCTTTATCAATTCACCTCATTATTTCCCTGCAAATGTCATCTTGTTAGCATATTCGAACAGCAGAAAGTCTTCCGACACTACTTATTAAAGCATAAGCAATGCTTTGTGTTCTGCAGCTGGTATTTCTACTGTCTATTCCTGTGAATATACAAAGTGCATCGATGCACTTCCTCTATGTGTTGTCACTAGTTCTTTACAAATGTTTTACAGCTGAAATTTTCATCATACGTGTATTGTTCTAATGCCATTTATAGTTTTTCAACGTGCACAGGAATTCAATTTGCACAGGAAATGCCATTCAAAAATTTCAAATTTTTTTATTTTGTAACCATAATTGTGAGAGTATTATTCTTTCAATGACAGATTCCCAGCTTTTTCTGAGCCATTGCTCCCTTTACAAAGAAAAACACACATTACCCTCTTTTCCATAATAATTAGTTTTGCCAAATATCAAAATACTGTCGTATATTGCCTATATCTATTACGAATCACAAAGTAGAAATTAATTTAAACAACCATCAAATAAAGCAAAATTGTTTAATATCTTTTCGCTAATACGCTTCTTATCACTAATACAGATTTATTGTCAAAATAAATAAAAATAAGACATTCCTAGAGCTATTCCTGGTTTTTATAAATTTGATCTTGCTCATGCACTGACATGTATGCCTTTGCTTTTTTGCAAAGAAAGTGCACTTGTGCTCTTGCCAAAAACAACCATGATTGACATTCTGCCAAACACTTAGAATCATCCAGAACAGGTATTAATTATGTGCCACAGGGCCAGGGGAACACACAAGAGTTTACACTATTTTTCACCTCATCTTCCTGGTGGATCTTCCTGGATCCTAGAAGATCCTAATCTTTGAAAAAAAATCCAGCAAAAATAATTTTTAACATATTTTCCAATATTGTGATCTTTTATACAAGAACTTTTTCTGTTCTTTTTTTCCCAAAATGCATATAGATTTTAAAGAAATATAATATTTATTAAACATAATTAAGTAAATAACTAATAATAATTTATTATCACATAATTATCATAACTAATTAAGAAATTTTTTTTGCAATGCTTATTAATATACATATACTTTAGCTCAAAGATAAACATAATAAATATTAATTTCAATATAATTAGAATAATTATTTATTACTTTAAAATTATTATATAATCAATTATAATAGTCATTATATTAGAATTCATTGTAATAATGAAATAATGGGTACTTTTCCGTTTCACCGGCACAAATCTCGCAAAGCAGACTCTATTGGCGACAACACACAGTATACACATAAAAAATGTTACCAAATGTTAGTTCTAAGAATTTTTTATTTTGAAGGCATAAACACTTTAATATCCAAATTTTGTAAAAAGACATTAATTTAAGAATTTACTATGCTTTCATGGTACAGCATCCTGATTCGCCGGTTCATAACATGTGACCTCCAAGTGATCTCATCTCACGTAAACTACGCTGCAAAAATCTAATTTTCTCAGTAATCATCTACATTAATTTCAAGTTAAATCTTAATATGGAATAGAAGTTTAAATGCAAGAATTTTAATTCGTACGAATAGCTTACTCAGAAATTATGTAAAACCAGTGATTTACTTCGCTAGTGCATTCTCATTAGAATTTATGAATTTAACCCTTGACCTTTGAATTTTCTATATTTTCGCCTTCGGGTGAACGGTATGATTGCATCCTAATTGACTTAATTACTGTGAATGACCTTAGAACATATAATTGAACTATCTGGTAAAAATTCTAGGTAATAATAATTGTATGCCAGTATTGAAAGAAACAAACATTCTGATAAGAAATGGCTGCAACTTATTTTGAAAATTAGGCATATTTTGAAAATTAGGTTACCAGCGAGGATATTCTGTTTAGCATCAGTTGTCCCATTTTTGGCGACTTTATCACCTGCACCGGCAAAATGGAAACGTACCAAATAATGAAAATTATACAATAAAGTGCAATAAAATAATTATAACTATTTGTGTAATATTATTTTATCATAAAATTATGTATATAGCAAAATTAAGTTTTGAAAATACTCATATTTTTACCAATATGTAAATAAATGCGCAAAATTAAACAATGAAACCAAACAGTTAATTACAAATGATGATTAGCATATTTACATAACTTACAAACTAACATTCTCCTTCCTTACATCTATGCTCTTTGAACAGTGAAAGTAAACTGAAAAATCCCTACCACATGATTAATCTCCATCCATCCTATTTCATGAACGAATCAGTCCAAATGCCATAGTTAAACTATACAAATTGCTTATTTTTGTCAAAACATGCTTGATTACATGATTTGCAACTTTGCTTGCCAACTTGCAAAGACTTGAACTGAATTAGGTATACCTATACATAATCCAAATTACAATTTTTAATGCTTATTTACACAATAACAATCAAATAGAAAATTTAGATAGCTGCGTAATATGTTTATTCATGAAAACAGTATTTTCCAAGTATTTATCATATTATTTTCATAAATAGGTAGGTATGCCATGACTATTCTTTTAACATTCTAAATGCCCCCTATTTGCCTCTGGACTGGCTATTGCCCTGATGGACAAATCCAGCACCCACTGATGGGGTATCACATCCTTTGAAAACCTGTTTTAAATCACCTCAATCTCAAGCACATACCTTCAAATAACAATATTTGAAATTTCATTTCGATTGCTCAAGCAGATAGACCGCTAGGGGGTTCATATATCAGGTAAGTTTTTATGACCCCCCTGTACTATTGTGCATTGCTTTTACATGCATATTTATTTAAAATTAGAAGCTCTAAAGGATGCATACTATTATTGACTGTGCTTGTTTTATGTTGCATCAATCAATATTTACAGTTAAAAAATTTTTAGTAATCGGAAGAAATACCTTATGTTTTTGGGAAATAGAGTTTACCAATGGACTATAAGTGTAATTCAGAGTTATAGATGACATTAGTAATTTTTCATGAATGGCTTTTGAAATGGATAACAAGTTGAAAAATGACATCCTTCATATTAAAACTGCACAGAGCGAAATGCAAATGTCTTTCCTAAGCCCCACCTACATAAGGAAACATATCTCGAACACCTATCTGCATGTCTATGGCACTGGCACCAATCTATCTACACATGGATACACATCTCTAGTGCCTGCACCAACAGCCGTGATCATTGTGCATGACAGGATATTATGACCATCCTGTATATTCTAAATTATGCATTAAAACAAGAAAAATGCAAATTTAATTTTTGCTGACAACCTGACTAAAATAGGAGCAGAATGAGGCAACCAAAACAAAACAAAAATGGCACCACACTTAAAACTATAAATGTGTAATTACCTTGAAAGCCAACTCATGTCCACGCCACACCCAAATACCTGAAATGGTGCTATTGTTATCTTCACCAAAGAGGAGGACACTTGCAAAAGCATTCTTTCTTAATTTATCTAGTCTCTGGAACATACCTAAGGATAAAAGTTAAAAAATTAAAAGTTCCTAATAAAAACAACTTTCTTTTTAAATCAAAATATGTATTCACAACTTTTAAAATAATTAAATATCTTTCTAGATTTATTTATTACAATTTTTGTTTTTGTAAGCTACATTTTTAGTAATAGACAAAGAAAAATTACCTACCTGAAATAAGATTACAGCTCATGAAAACAAGAGTGAGTTCTTGAGGATAGAGATATTCACAATACCAAATCGAATAATTCTCAGGATCAAACTTCTCCCAAAAGTGCTTCACAGATACACTTTCATCTTCATTACTGTAAACTCGCTTGAATTCATCCATGTTGAATGTCCTGTAAAACAGCAATTTCCCTAAATGTAACTATTCAGATATAGGAATTTATCATAAAATTTAGTCACAGCAACATTTTTGTGATTATTCCAACGTTTATTATGTTTGATAATGGAACATTTGGATAGAAAAGACACTAACCTGTATTTACAATTCAGACATATATTCATGAATTCTAATGTGAATTTATGTGTAACCAATTAAAACATGAATAATGTAAGCCCAAGATTTGGTCTGGCTTATTTGATATACACACTGGCCAATGAATAAAAAAACCCAAGAGCAATATTTTATTTGGACCACCTTTCACACGGATAACTTCTCTGAGCATTGAGTCTGTGTGCTTCTGAAGTGCATTTACATCCAAAGAAAACTATGCATTGGCTGTGCAACTTTTCAAATCTTGTAAATTAGATGGAAGAAAGAGGACAGTGCTGTCAGATGCACCTTTCCACCATACCCATACACTTTCTATGGGATTAACTCTTTCGCATCGAGAGAGGGCAAAATCTCAATTCCCCAAACATCAAAAACGCCTGTATCTAAGAATTTCTCCTGGAATGCTTTACCTTCCCCCATGGACAAGTTGAATATTACAGCGCTAACAATAGCCTTACTTAAGTAAAGTACTTCTTTCTTCGACGCTTTGACACTGTGTGAAGTCCCTTGGACGGGATTTGCCAAACCTTCAGGCATCAAAAGCTAAACACCGACAGTAAACAAAGGAAAGGAAGGAACAAAGGAAACAACGAAGCTACTTTTAGTAGCTCCAAAAGAATGATTGACATGTGATTTAACAACAACCTGAAAGCAATGAGTTAATGCAGTAACGTGATGGGGGAAAGCACCTGGATAGGAAATTATTCAGGCGGTTTCGGGCGTTCCAGCCGATTATCTGAATGTTTGGGCGTTTGGGGGGTGGGGGGACTTCGATGCAAAAAAGTTAAGATCATGGGCTATGTGATGGCCATGGAAGGTTCTGGAAGTCACACTGATTGCTTCAGCGAATGAATTCTGAACTTCACTTCTTAGCACTCATGTCATCTCAGTATGCATTATCATCCATGAAGTATCCGTCACCATCAGGGTAAAAATGCAGCATTGCAGGGTGCACTTGATCTGTCAGATATCTAGTTATTTCATGGCTGTTTGCCCTCGAGGAATAACAAGGCACCACTCCTATGCAGCAGCAGAAACATACTCCATATCATGATACTCCCACCAGACCCTTGCGCAGTGCTAGTTAAGCAAAATGGATTCATCGGGTTCTCGCCAAATTTGACATCTTCCATCTGCGCAAAATAAGGTGTAGCGTGATTCATCCGACCACATTACCAGTATCCAATCCTCAGATGTCCAGTGTCTTTTTTCCCAACACAACTGCAAACAAATTATTGCAATGACGGCAAAAATCAATGGTTTTTCTCACAGGCAACCAACTATGCATTCCCAACCTCTGCAATTCTCTGTGCATGGTTCCAGCTGAAATCGGTTGGGAAGATAGCCTTGGCTGACGATCTGTATCAGTTGAAACACACTAGTCCCCGATCTGCTGTACAATTCATTGGAGATGCCGACGATCACTCTCTTGGAAAACTGTGCTCGAATCGCAGTTACATCTTCTAGAAGGACTGCAGGTTGTTATACCAACTTTTTAAAACCTTTGATATGTCTTTTGAGAATCCAGTGAGATTTGCTGTCTTTGAAATTGAGGCCCTTGCTAAATGAGCACCAACAATAAGCCCTTTTTCAAATACAGTCAAAAGTCGTTAATTCGGACACCCATAATTCGGAATGATCTATAATCCGGACATCGAAACTAAAAACTTTCTGCGCATGCGCCGCGTTGACACATGCGCAGAGGCGTTCACGCGTGCGCGTAAGACCTTTTACGACTGCGCATATGAGTTTGCGCAAGTGCAGAATACGTTTTCGCGCGCGCATTTTATGTATAATCGACGTATAAGCTAAATAATTATCTATTTCAGTTAATGTTGATGATTGCGTTGTTCCTTAATTTTCGAATTGCATCCGGCTTATTATTTTTTGCAGACTGTAAGAGCAATTTTATAAAAGTAAGCTTAAACTTTCGATTATATCAAATAGAATTTCCGATATATATTTGTTAATATGTAAAGGATCTAAAGCGAAAGTATGTTTTGAAATCCGAAATCTGTTTATCAATTTCACGCTGCTCGGCAGCGGGCGCGTAATGAATTGGAAGTTGATTGTCAGCACTATCCTTATCTTCAGCGCAGATGTTTTTATTTTATTTGGCTTATAATTCCTTACCAAATGTAGTATTTCATCTCGATATGCTTCGTCTTTGATATGATTTAAAACAAGTTCCTCGTCATTATAATTCGCTTCCGATAGCGAAGAAAAGTGACAGAGGTTATTGAAAACAAAAAAATTTCGATTGACAAATTAGTCGGTATTCTTGACACAGCAATTATAGGACTTGAACGGCGGAACTTTGTAACTGAACAAGAAATTATGTCTGTTTAATAGAATTAAAGAGAAAGTATTATCACATGAAACGAAGCAAAACTTAAACAACTTACATTGAAAGAAATGTTTAATAAAGTAAACAAATAAATATTAAGCTTTTTCTTTTTGCAAATTTTGATACCCTTTAGATCATAATTGTTCTTTATTTCATAAATTACGGTTTCATATTTTTAATTTTATAATTTCTGCATGCCATCTTACGAGATTTAAACTGATGATCTATAATCCGGAAAAATCGATAATCCGGAATCGCCGAAGTCCCGACGAGTCCGGATTAACGACTTTTGACTGTAGTGAAAGATCTGTCGTTTTCCCACTTTATTTACACCTTACCTATACTAACATTCTAACCACGTATAACCTACACCATAACATTTTTTTTTCCGTATATTTCATCCCCAGCATGCATTCAGACGAAAATCTCAAATGTTTCTGATTCATTGGCTACTGTGTGTATTACAAAGTACATAAGGGATTGCTTTTACATGCAGAAGGTACTAAAGGTTATGTAAGGTGCAAGGATTTGATGCAAGCAGAAGGATTTAGTTCAATATTCGTAAAACTAATATTAATCTATTAATAAAAAATGTTATACAAAGAGTACAGAAATCTTGAACAAATTTATATATTTAGAAAAATGCATACTCTCCAGTTACAATATTTAAACCAATTTTTTAATGCTGTGTTGTTCAAAATAAAAAAAATTATTACATTACAGAGTTGCAAAAACTGGGTTTGTTCATTAATATTTTCATTGATATTGTTTAAGCAAGACTTTTACAGTACTAACCCCTTAGGAAACTGTTCAAAGGGATCCTTGGATTTGGGTTCTTGAGCTAAGACTAATTCAGTCTCATCAGGTTCATCAGCAACTTCTTTTTCTTTCTCTTCTTTTTTAGGTTTCTGCTCCTTTTTCTTCTTTTCCTCTTTGGGCTTTTGAGGTTTTTCTTCTTTTCCTTTGGCTGGTTTATTTTTACCTAACTGTTGTTGAATCTCTGCATATTTTTTAGCTAAAGAAACATTTTTTTAAACTGATATATGTAAATAACAAATACATGTTTGATTGCTTTACAAAAAAATGCAGAGAATCAAAAATCAAGAAGGGAAAAAATATGCTGAAATTTAAGACTTAGAAAATCAATACAATTTTTTTTACAATTTTTTTAAAAATTGTAATTACTTTTATGATCTGAGTATAATCATGCCCCTGTATTCATTGATTCAACATACATGGTTTACCACTGCTTGAATTTTTTACACACTGCCTGATTGAAAAAATGCCATACCATGAAAATATGAATACAACAAAAATTGCAGAGTTGTTGTACATGTTCGTTATATAAAAATTTCTGGGTGATCATAAAACATTTTGCATGCTACTAAACTGTACGCACTTGAATTTAAATGTTCAAAATACTTTAATCCTCTCTTTTTTTAAATGTACATATATATTATCCACTACAAGCTTTTTACAGTTATAATTACAAAGTTTACATAATCATCTAAAATAAATTAGAAAAAAAGACAATTTTTGGCACAAAATTAAAATTATAATTAATACAAAAACAATTTTATTAGTAGCAGATCACTAAACTTAACTACAGGTCATAGTAGTACTCAGTATCACAAGAGGGGAAAAAAATTAAGATGCTATTTTTATAAAACTACTCACACAATTTTTGCAAAAACTTAAACAATTGCATATCATTTCACAAATGTGATTATCTGTCAATATTAGACTTGTGCATAAATCAATGCAAATAGTAATAATGGATATTCATAAATAGTGCAATGCTATGCATAAATCTATTTTCTAATTCGTCCCTCCATGATAATAAAAATGAAATTCAAAATTTAAATTTTGTAGATCAGATGATCAGACGTGGTTTTTAGCAAGAATCAGCTTTCCACTTCTTTTGTCTTTTCCTAATTTTCCATAATCAAACTAAACAATCTGACTTTCCCTAACCAAACTAAGCAATGTCCTCGACCAATTAATTATCAAATTAAGTTTGAATAATTATTTATAAGCATTTAATTACAAAATATAATGAATTAACTAAGAATAAGAAAGTACTTTTCTATTAGAGGTGCCTATCGCCATATGTGCACAAAAGTTGGCAACTGTGGTAGCATATTTTTATCACATCATAAACGGCTGTAATAATATCACCTGCAAAAAGGGGAAAGAATGAAAATCAATCCAGGAATTTTTTCCATTAGACTTCCAGTTGATTAACCAAATAGTTTCTTTCCAGTTGTCACGTGAATCATACATTGGAAACTGAATTAAACTGATGAAGAAATAGCTAATTGCTATATTAATGTGTCACAAAATTTAGGCAATGATGAATTAAGAATATTTCCCATGTATCCACAAACCTTTACATTTTACACACTGTTTATGTTTGGTGTGAAGTGATGCACTACGTGTTAATGCAAAATTTTATTCACTGCTTAGATTTTACTTTGAATGTGGATGGGGAGTGCATGTACACAAGAAGTAAGGCTAAACATTTTGCAGTTGATTTAGATATATTTTTACAGGGCATATCATTAATAATTAAGATATTTGAATCCTCATTTGCAGTCATTTTACTACAAAATACTTTTGTATTTCTTTTTTTTTGGGGGGGGGGGGGAGCAGAATTTTTTTATAGCCTAGTGTAAAAAACACAGCACTTCTTCAGAATGTTAATATCTGTACTGAAGTAGTGATATTAATGTTCTCTAGTAACTCTCTCTAGTAGTAAGAGATCAAACTCATTCAGAACTTTCAAAGTATAAGCAGCATTCCATTACACCCCAGGATATATATTTATTGCATTCAAGCATATATTTAAAAATTCACACTCAAAATGGCATCGTAAAAAAAAAATGTAAATGTCAGATACGTAAAATTAAGGTTCTTTTGCCAATTTTGACTGAAGTTAACGACTTTTAAGAACCAAAAGTCAATTAAAAAAACCCTCAGGACTTTTAAGGGCCATATAAACCCCATTTTACGAAAGTATTTACTGATTATTTTAAGCTTATCCCTCTGGTAATGCTGCTGCATAATCAACATTTTCCACTTAAATGTTTCACAGTACATCAGTTGGAAACACTGCCTTAGAGTACAATTATAATTAAACATTTGTAACAGTTTTAGCTGCTACATATATTAACTGCAATTATTTGAATTTTACTTATCAATATAAATTTACTTACCATCAAACTGTGCCATTTTTTCACAAAGAGTTACATTCCCCAAAACAGCTTTAAATTCAGGTTGGTTGATTAATGTGTTGAACCACCTATTTACATTTCGGTATGGTGCCCGAAAGGACGGTTCTAGAACCTAGAATGTAAATTAAAATGATGTCTAAAATCTTTAAATAAAAACTCATTGCATAAATTTAACTTTTGTTTCTATTTTTATTTCTCAGCCAAATTCAAAATCTGCAGAAATCACAGCATCATTTTAAGTAGCATTTAGAATTAGAATCACTGAATGCATTTTTCAAATTAGTATCTTATTCTTCACTTAAAAGCTTTTTACATTGTTGCAATTACAAAACCATTAACAGTTCTTTCAGTCATAGTACACTTCTGCAAAACCACTCAATAATTATGAAAGGGAAGGTAACCATTTGATAATTTTCATTGTTCCATCAAAGAAATCACATCCTGGTCCAAAAGGCCCTACTCCCCACTGAACAAAATTTCTCCATTCTGAACAAATTCTTAAAAATAACATTTCTATGAGATATGTTTACTTTTCTAATTTTAGAAAATTTACTTTCCCTCTGAACGTTATGACCGGCTTTATTCGGTCATTAGAAGATTTGCTACTTGGCATACAGTTGCTTATAATTTAAGATATTTTGCTTTCTTACTTACTTTAATTACATAAAAATCTTAATGAATGCAAGTTTATGAAAATACAGACTAAAATAAGTAATTATACATACTCAATTAATAAATGCTGTTTAAATGCCAGTTTTCATGATGGATCTAAAATCCTGCACAGCTCAGAGGGTAAATAAGGATAAATTTAAAAGAGAGATTAAATGATAAGATTCAAGCTGGTTACTTCGGACTAACCAAGCTAGCTGAAATAAGTGTGATTTTTTGCTGCTTGTAAAATTTATCATATAACACAATACATGCACAAAAGACAACAGATATAAGAGCCCTGATTACAAAATGAGAATGTAGAAACTTGAGTAAATAAATGTAAATTTACAAAACAAAATAAAGTACTAATTATGATATTATATATGAAATTCATTACATAACATGTGCACTAATAATAGCCTTCAGCCTTCTACTATTAATAAGACTGTTATAATCCATATGCACAAATCTTGCAAAGTTGCTAATTTTACCCAGACTGTCATAGAACTTAGAAGCTAGATGATAATAATACATCCTTAATGTAGTCAAATCCAAGAAAGAAAGTGGAAAATGTAGGGAAAAATTAGTTTTTAATTAATATCTCGGCTAATTAAAGTCCCAAGAAGATGCGAATGGTCAAAATGGCGTGCCACGGACCTGCGGAATCCAATGATGTGCTTCGTTAAGCTCGGGAGCCAGACGGTTCAGAGGAGATAATGTTACTTCACCCCATATATATATATATATATATGCGGCTTAAGTGTCTGTTTGTCGCCTATAGTTTATTGGTTGCTTGCGTAACTGTACTAGCCAATGGAGGTGAAGTTGCCACGGCACAGGGTTGCCATTTCAATTGAGACATAGACAATTTCCTGTAAAACTTGCCTTTGCTATGACTATCAATATGTCTCAGGGCCAAGTGCTTAAGCGTGTTGGCATCTTTTTACCTGAGCCTGCATTTGGACACAGTCAACTTTATGTTGCCTGTTCAAGAGTAAAAATGATGGAAAGATCTACACAAGAAATGTGTACAAAAAGATATTTGACATGTAAATTAACACTTCATTATTTAAATCACCCTTATTTATTGAGCAAGTGGTGGTTCTTAAGAAATGTACTGCCAGTGGTTTCCTTCACTGCACTCTACTTTAAGCAAGTAGAAGGGGAAAACCCTGTGGGGCAGTAAGCAAAGAGGCGTCCTCGCCGCCTGCCCTGCGTAATTCAGTTTAAATTAGTAGACACCTTTGCACAAATCATTTTAATTACAATTTATAATATCTAGAACAGCGGTGATTTCGTATTACCGCCGGGCTTTCTAGTGAATTTAAACGAATAATTTATAGATAGATAAAACAGCATTTCAAGCAATTAAAGAGTAGAGCTTAGAACACACTCAAAACTTCTGGATAATAGATGTAATGTGTGCAATCCATGAAAGAAATTAGAGAATGTCCCCAAAAATAAGGGACTTGCTTAGCAAAGGGCAGCATACTTCCAAAGAACTTGAGGTTCATAATTTTTCTTTATTTTTGTAAAAAGGATGGTCACAGTCTTGCCAATATTAACCAAGATCTTCTATTTAGTGAGCCAAGTCCTATGTGTATGGATGCGATTTTGTAACCACTGGATGACAGGACTAAAAAATGAACTTTGTGCAAGCATCACTGTTGTCATCAGCATACATTGCAATTGTAGTTTTGATTGTGATGTAAATGTTAGAAAGGGATAATAGTGATCCTTGTAGTACTCTGGCTAGAATAGCACAACAGGCAGAATATATGCCAGAAACATTAACAATAAATAAAGGGTCTACCGATCAGGCAGGATTTCATTATGTTTGTAAGAGAAGATAATGCTTGGTTTCCTATCTGGGGAAAAAAAAAAAAAAAAAAAAAAAAAAGAGCCTTCCAAGAAAGTTTCAAACTTGTATATCATAGAAATAAATTTCCCTGAATATGCAGTAAGAAAAATAAAGTTTATTATATTTATTTTATATTTATGGAGTGACATTAATTAGACAAATTTAAATGTTTATTAATTTACTTCTTTCATAAAAAATCTACTTCATTATTTTTAAAAAGATATATTGCAGCTCTTGAAGTTTCCGGAATTTTATCAATAACCTTATGAAGTCTTTCAGAAGTTAATTCTTTATTATAAACTGGTACTTGGTTAACAAGCATGATCATTGTCCTGTACTGTGTAAAATCATTGTCCTGTACTGTGCATGATCATCCAGGAACTCGATACATATTGTTTTTTTTTTTTTTTTTCTAATTTTAACTTCTGCTAAAATAACTGCACTGTGTCTTTGAAGGTCGTAAAGTAAATTGGGGAACAATTATTAATAATAACTAATTCCATCCTGTGATTATTTTTAACAGAATTTTTTCATATTTACTGAATCATTTATTTTAATAAACAGTTATTCCAGTAACAAAGTAAATCATAACTCCTAATTTAGTTCAGAGTTCAACCAAAATTTTAAAATTGTACATCTTTTTAAAAAGAAATATTGCACCGTAAAAATTAATCTAAATGCAAATTAAAACTGAAATGCACACAGCTTAATTATGTACAACTGGCATATTTTTTAAGTTAAAAAACTTACCAATTGGTATAGGGCTAATAAATTACAGCATAAACTTATGTCAGCCTGAGTAATGCTTTCACCGACTAGATAGGTATGTGTCAAGAGATGATCATTCAAAATTTTTAGAACTCTTTTCACATCTTCTTTAGCTTTTTCAGTGCTCTGTAAATTTAATAAAATATCTCATCTTTATAAATGCACAAGAAAATGACATGAAAGATATTTACAAAAGTGTTTTATATTTATAAAAGAAAACAATGTTCTTACTTGTTTATTATACTGTGTAAGCCCAAGACATGGAAAGATCCATGTATATGCAGGTGGTAGAATTTCATTATCACCAAAATTAATCCAGGATAAGATTAGAGCTTGATCAAGTTTAGTGGCCCCTTGTAGTTTATCATTACCCACTAAAACAGACAGAAACCTTAATTACTTATTAACCCTTTGACGCACGCAATATTAATTTTATAATTTTTTTAACTAAAAAATTGAATACAATGATCCTAGAGACAAATAATGTATGAATTTAAAAAAATCTACTCTTGCCCATTGTTCTGTAGGTGGTGGTCACACTGCGAAACCACCGCGCGTCTAGGACTTGGAAACTTACCGAGGTAAGTAGGGAAAAAAAACTTACCTTTCTCCGTGCGCGTTTCCAATAAATGACAAAATTTATGAATTTAAAACAAAATGCATGTAGAAATTGCATAATATATATATATATATATATATATATACATTATACATATATATATATATATTTCTACATGTATATATATTATTTTTATATTATTTTACAAAAAGTAAATCATAAGAAAAAATTAAAAAAATAAACATTTATTTAATTTTTCTATAGCAATGAAAGTACCTACATAATAAGGACGTTTGGCTACATGGATTAAAAAACTCAGTAAAATAAGGATAAAAAGAAACTCTGTTTTCTTTTTAATTTCAAAGAACAAATATTTTTTGTGATGCTGTTCAAAGCATGTTTTGTCTTTTTGATACATGCATGCCCACATTGCACGTTTCGCCACATGTATCTTCTTCTATGAGGTTTCTTCCTTGTGCTACAAAATGTACACTGATTGGATCTAAATTTCACTGGTCCAGCATTATTTAGTTTCTTTTCATCATTTTCTTTTCATGAAATTTGTGGTTTTTTATGTTAATAAGGAGGAGCTTGGTCTTTTTGCCTTTGATAAGGATCATTCGTTTCCCATTCACACTTATTTTATTATTCGTATTTCATCTCAAAATATTCAGAAAATATTTTTAATTTAAACAAAACTTTACGCGATTTCTATTTTTAATTACAGCAAAGTATATTTACATTAAATTTAAACCACTGGAAATAATTTAAAAAATCACAATACTAGCTTGGGGAGCAAGTGTGTTGAGGTCAGAGAAAAGTCTCTGGAAAAGAAAGACCTTTTTACTGAGCAGGTGCATATATTGTATAGTAATAAAATAACTGTGATTTCAAAACTCCTTATCTATATCCGGTAAAAATAAACATTCCTATCTGAGAAGCAAGCAAACGCCATTGTGAAGAGCAGTGGTTTCAAGGCGCGACCACCGAGCCTCTAGAGCACTGTGACACAATGCTCTAGTGGTGCAGTGGTCGTGCCCTGAAACTACAAAGCAAATGCCATACATATACAGGTTTTTTTTTTATATATGCTGTTTAACTATTGTTATTTTTATTGTTTATGATAGAAATCATGATGTGCGATGAATAACTTTTGAAACTTAAAGTTGTTTACATTAATAAAAGGAAGTTATTTTGTCTCATTGAAAACGAATTTTAAAAGGCATCCGATTTGAAGTACTAAGACTTAAAACGTGTATGATTCTGCAGTCATTTTGTGTTATTTAGAGGTAAAAGATCAGTAATCAATTGATTTTCACTCAAAAATTTCGGAAGGAAGAGGTGAAAAAAATTCGAAAATTGGTGGTTTCAGGGCGCGACCACCGCGCGTCAAAGGGTTAAAGAACAGACTCATTAACACATGAAGAGCTTGATATCTGACAGTATTAAACCTCCAATTAGTAGTCTCAAATTCCTACCACTCTCATAAAGCTAATTATATACTTTAAATTATATCAAAAAATGCTAAATAAGTTTGGCATAGACATGATAGAAAAATACAAATATCCAGAGCAATCTTTCCTTATATATGTTTATTAAAAGTAATAATTAGCATATACCAAGATAAAAGAAATTTGAACTTTGTCTACTTATGACAACACAAACGGGCAGTTAAAATTTGATGAATGTGAAATGACTGAACAATGCATATTAACATATTATGCTGTGGTTAGTTCTCTTCATTCTGCAATTTAATTCTGTATTCTCAGAATATGTTTCAATTCTGTCAGATATATAGGCTTCCAAAATTCTAATAGAATGATTTAAAATGGCAAAATAAAAATTTTGCGTACTTAAGTTTACAGCTCCTGCAATCAATTGCCAATGATAATTGAAAACCACAGGTTTTGAGAAAAAGTGATGAAATCGATGAAAGCCTGTTCGTTTGACAGAAAAACAATGAAGGGAGGATTCTACCTCAGCAGTGGTTATTCGGTAAGATATGCTGTGAAACTGGCGAATGTTTTGTAGATATGTGTAGATTAGACGTGGTGAATTATTTTTTAAGATGGAGAATAAAGAAGCATGCACACTAATGGCAAAGATAGTCAAATACGCAGAGGAACGATCCAAAATTTATTCAGACTGTTGGCACGCTTATAAAACTGAGGATTTCAAAAATCGTATGACTGTAAACCACAAATACCACTTTGTTCTACAGGTGTGCACACACAAAATATTGAGGGACTATGCATTTCTGCGAAGTGGCAAAATAAAAAACTATAAACTGCTTGCCATCATCTTCATTCATACCTAGCAGAATTTATGTGGATAAAGACAGTGGGATGACCAAATGCATTTGATAACATATTAAAAGTAATAGCGAAAATATGGCCGTCACAAACTTTCCCATAAACTTCTCTATTAAAAAAAAAAACCTAAAATAGGTACCAGCATTTTAAAGAGGTCTCAGAATCCATCACAGATGAGTAATTTGGCCACTTTCAAATACAAAGACTTTGGAAGACATTTTGTTTGATGGCATAGTATGCTTGTCAAAATTGTTTAACTACTCAGGAAATAATTTTTAAGGAAATTACTTGCCAGGACATTTTGTTAAAGGATCGTAATGTATTGATCAGCATAGGTCTTATCAGCCGGTGAGTGCTAAAGTAGTTTGACCTGCATTAAAATCCCAGTTTTTTCTCTTTTTCCTACATGGCTTACGTGTAACTTACATACGAACCAATTTCAATCAGGAAGTCCTCCATTCAGGCATACTTTTCTACAGGTAGGTAACCCTCAAGTTGCTTTTCTTAATCACTTAACCAAATCATTAGTCAGCATATCAAACTTGCCAACTTTATAAGTTAAAAAAAAATCTAAAAACTACTAATAATAATAAATTCAGTAAAAAGCATATATAGATGCTCCAATCTTACTTTCACAGATACGAACAAACCATTCTCAAAAACTGAAATTTGTCCGGAGTTCAGACTCACTACCATGATACAAATTCTAAGAAATTTGCCAAAGTAGTTTGTTGTGCACAATACCACACATTGCAGCCACTCTTTTTTATAGAAGAAATCTCGCTAAGATATAGTGCATTTCTTCATTAATCAATTATAATGCCATTTTTTTCATATCAGGTCAATGTGAGCCAGTTTCTGATAAGACTTCTATGAAGACACCTCTTAATAACCTTACCTAAACTACCATAATGAGTTGACAAACTAATCCACTTTGGCATACATTTCTGGTTATCTCTAAATTTCCCCACTTTATAATATGGGAAAACAATTCTTCCTTTTTGGAATTTGAATTGTTTGACTTAGCATTGATAGTCCTGGCAAAATAATTAATATTTTAGCAATATCAAAAAATATTTAGCTTTCAAAATGTTAAAATAAGTTGTTCAAAAAAAACTCACTATAATTTAATGTGGTAATATTTATTAATTACGGAAAAACGGGGAGTTAAAATTATATCAAAGCAAAGCATTCATTTTTTAAGTGTGGTGATCAATTTTTTAACAAGCATGAATAATGTTACTGCAATATCATTTAAATAAAATATATGGATAATAAATTATATGAAAACAACCTTTTATATATTTTGCCATTTATATTTGAAGATTTTTCAAGATTTTTCAATAATTAAAAAGTATCTTGAGTGCCAAATTTAAGTACAAGATAATAAATAAAGCAGAATCAGAGAGCCCTTGCTGTAAATATAATACAATAAATTTCATTTCTTTAAATTTCTCTTTATCAATACATACATGATATTCAAATTTGCATGTTTTCTGCAAAATGTCCTTTACGATTTGTGCGAATTCCTTAAATACCGTAATTTCCGGTAGAAAGGCCGCATCAGCGCAAACGCCGCACTCGAGAAAAATGGCGGGGAAAAAATTTAAATTACACAGAAACGCTGCAATAGATTAAATTGCGCGTGACATCGTCGTGAGCCGTATAGATGCAAAAACTCAACCTAAGTCCTGACATATGACATACCAGTTAAGAAAAATGCATGAAATGAAACCATAACTCAAAAATAAATTAAAGGTAAGAAATGTGGAAAATATATTTACCTTCACGTATATACTTATATTTACCCACTAAAGAAGTCCATATTTATAATACTCAGACTATATTATAAAAAATGTTGCGACAACGAAATATTAAATTTGGATGACAAAAGGAAATTTTAAATTTTCCTTACGAATTACAGCAGCAAACTATACATCATATGAAGCCATCAAAATCTTATTCTTCACTATCTGAATTCAAAGTCTTCCAGATCGTCGCATTCATCCTCTTGGTTTACAGTCTCTTTATCTAAAGATATAGTTTCAACTTTTTTGAACCCTGCTATTATTGACGATGTTTCTACCGATTTTCATGCACTTCCTGCCCACTTTGCAATTTCTTCATAAGATGCTCTACGCATTTTACCGCTTTTGGTTTACGTATGCAATCCTTCACTCATCCAACATTCCCACCGCTTTCGGACTTCAGCTTTGAAGGATTTATTACCTGACAAATCTAACGGTTGTAAATGTTGTAGATTTTGGTTGTAAGATTTTGTAAAACCACCAGGAACTATTGCTTCAGTCGTAGACAATTTTTGACATCTGGTTTTCACTGACTCAAAGAAATGAGCACGCATGGAATCCATTATCAATACCCTTTGGTTAGAAAAAAGATCCCATACGACACTGCCAAACTTTTTGTAGCCACTGATGCATAATTGTTTCGCACATCTAGCCGTTCTCGTTTGCACAAATAATTACGTCATTAAGAAAATCTC